TTTTTTTCTACACCATCATTTAAATTTGGACAAGGCATACGATGAGAGTTAGCAAGTATGACTCACAAGTGCAAAAAAAGAACTTAAAAACATTGTAAGTAGTGGAGATCATTGTTTTCCAAATATTATATATATTTAAAGTTCTATGTTTTAATAAAAGTAACTGAAGTTTAAATACATATTTGTAAATAGTAATTATATATATATATATATATATACACACACACACACACACACACACACACACACACATGTAATGTATAGTAACCAAAACCTCACTGTACCTTACAAAATATTGGAAACTAAGCATTTAGTGGTTACTGTGTAAGCATGGTAAAATAGGAAAAAGGATGTTCATAAGCCCTTTCACATCTATATTACTAGTAAATCCCAACCACCCAAGTTTATTGGATCGGATACAACTTTATACAGAGCAATATCAAATATTTTCCCTCACTTTTATATAATACTTCAGACAATTCTTGTTGCTGCTACTGTACTGTGCAAACAAGTCAATAAATCCTACCCACTGTGATTTCAGAGCCAGGATTCAAATACACAATGTAGGAAACGTCCACTTATCGACCAATATTCAAAGTTTATTGGATCAGCCCAGAATTTCTATAAAGCTATATACTTTAGACAATTCTCACTGTAACCATTATACTGTCAACAAGTTCACAAATCCTACCTCATTGTGTTTTCAAAGCAGGGAAAATTCTGGGAATTGTGCAACAAAAGATTATTTGATAATGACAGTATCAAAGTACAGTAACATTTAAACAGGAATGGTGAATCAGTGCTTTATATTTGGCAGGTTTCTACTTCAGCCACTAACAGTAGAATAAATATAGTAAACAGGTGTAAAAATATTAGAAGAAACTATCAGGAGATTTATTTTTGAGCTTCATTGTCCATACTGAAAAGGACAGATAGTACTATTCATTTTGTCTCTTCTAGTTTCTAAGCCAACTGCTAGCAATAAAATAATTACAGAAAATAAGCGTGAAAAAGTGAGAGAGTAGTTGCATCATAGCAACTTATGCATAATGCTATGCTCTCTTGGTTTGGAACAAGTAAAGCTTTTCAGTGACAAGTTATCAGTTGACAAATAAAGGAATCTTCAGTAGAACTGTTAGCACTTTTTTTTTTGTCTTTGACTGTTTTTGTTAATTTTCTCAACAAGGGCTTGGTTGAACTGACCAACCATGTGACCACTTTGCACTTGTTATACAGTAGTCAACACTTGTTAGGGATCATGTTTTATTTTGAGTATATGTCAAACACCTACCATAACAGTATGTATAGATTGAAAATTTTAGGAAGAAAAACACCTGGATAAATCATTTTTACACTTTATTAAATTCTGTAACATTTAACTTGGATAACAGAGCCTGAGGAACTGATGCACCCTGTGGTACAGTGTTAACAAGAAAAATTTCAAAATCAACAGTCACTGAATGAAATGTCCAATTCACAGTCAAGTAGCAGTCTTTTTGTGGAGTTGTTAGTCTTCTCCTTCCTCCACCATCACTCCTATTGACTCTTTTAAACCATCTGAACCTGTTCCAGGCCCTGGACACTACACTTTGGGATGTGCCAAGAGCAGCATCAACCCTGCATAGAGTCATGCCTCCCTGCAGCATCCAAACAGCCCTGTTAGGTTCTGCAGGAGAAAGATGATGCCTTTGATCTGAACAAGGCATTTTCTGCACTGCGTAATCTCAATCAGATCAATTTTAGCATGCAATGATCAGTGATCTCAAATTAAGGACCTCACAATTTCACTGCATGAACTTTGGGGGAATGGTTGGAAAACAAAGCCAGGATCCAATCAAAGTCACCCAGGCAGTAAGTTTGCACTTAGCAGACAATGTCTAGATAATGGAATTCCAAACTGTCTTTTTTTAGAACTGACCTTTATTAACATTAGTGTACCTATTATGTAAAAACATGATCCCTAGCAAATTTTGACTAATGTAGTTTTGATACTACTACATTTTTACATAACATGTGTATCTTCACAAATGTTGACTAATGTAGTTTTGATACTACTACATTTTTATATAACGTGTATCTTCACAAAATTTGGTAGACTTTCAGTAAACATTACATCTTTTACAAACAAAAAAAAATCAGGTTTTAAGTGAAGTATTTGTAATAAAGATTTTCTGTAAACATAGACTCTTGTTTTTTTACTAGTCTGAGTGAAAGTGATTTTGACGTTAAGATTAAAAATACTTTTCTTCATCTCAAAAATCTCAAATTTCATTTGCATAATCTATAAAACCTTCTAAATACATTTCAAACGTTTTTTTTTTCAGTAAAATTTTATATTTTATCCATTATTTTCTCTACCCTAACTCTATACAAGGTCGGTCAGTTTGACTGACTTTGTAACCACCAAAAATAAAATCAAATCTAAATTACTTTTCTTTAAATTCTAAAATGACTTCAAATTGTAACATGAAACTACATTTCTTTATTCTAAGTAGCTCTAAACTCGTAACAGTATACATCTATTTATTCTTAAATTGTATTGTTTTATTTCCCTTTGAACTGTTTAACTATTACTTGCTCCATTATAAGTTGTAAAACATGAGGAATGTGTGGCTCACATTATGCTCTTGAATTAAATTACCCACGAGATACTCCAAGTTGTTCACATGCGTGCCTCATGAAACTTTAATATATTATTGTTATAAATTTTACCAACTCTATCCTTAACTAACCTAAATAGTTTCCTATTTTTTAAATGTTAGTTACTTTTATAATAATAAATAAAGTATAGACGTGAAAAACAAGAAATAAAGTACTTATCTGGGCCTTTTGTTTTTGCCGTTGATGGTTGATGAGACTTAAGCCTACTTATATTTTTTTTATACTAATAGTAGTAGTGCACTAATTAATTTTTATTTGGTTAAATAATGCACCAAAGAATATAGAATTATCACAAGGAAAAAGCAGACAATGTCCCATAACTATCACAGTTTTTCTGTTTTTTTTTAACTATGTGACAAGAGCTGTTACAAATTCATTCAAGCTAGTCGATGTGGGAATGAAACTTGTAATGAAAGAAAAATTGACAGTTCTCTGTACAGAAAATAATGTAATATAATACATCATTTGATAGATGAAACCTTGGCTTTCTGTTGGTTATAAATAATATAGTATTAAATGTAAGAAAGAACTATTAACAAATCCTAAAAGACAAGTGGGTGTGGCAAGAAGGGTCTGATGATTTTCTATTTGATGGCTCGATAACAAAATAAGATTGAAGGCGACAAAAATTATGCTTTGCCTGAACAATGAGAATATTATAATGAGTAATTTACATTAAATTTCGTACTTATTGAAGGGGGTGGGGAATAAATTAGAGAAGATGGGATGCCTAGAGAGAAAATGTCACATTTCTCAAACTAGGAGAAATTTAGGAGTTTTTAAAATATTGCCTTATAAAATTAATAATTTAAAACTTGTATACTACTAAAATATGGATTATTAGCTATGAATTTATGCTATACTAATCAGTATAACATGAACAAAAAAAGTAGTTTAATTAAATAATGAATGTAACTGACATCTACAGTAAAGGACGCCTGTGGAGAAAGGGTTAATACAGATTTCACTTTGCTTTGCTTTTACTTTGTGTTTGGTATCTTTCTTTAAACTCAGAGTCAATAAGTTTAGATTTACTTGTGTGTAACATTTCCTGATGTTTTTTAGCTACTGAATTTATGATCCTTACTTGAACAGGAGCACATTATATTTGAGTTTATCACACTGTAAAACAGAAGAAACAAATCTCTAAAACTTTAGGTACAATGAAAAGAGAAACAATGGCCAATAATGTAACAACACAGAAAAACAAGGCTCCCATAAAAAAAAAGTACAGTGTACATGAAAAATCACATCCCACTATACGACATCTAAAAAAAAACAATACTCTATAACCTAAGAACATTAAACACAAGAAATTACAGGTTATGGTGAAACAGCAAATGAAAACAAGTCTCATAAACCTATTGTATGGTGAAAAGAAAATATCAGAACCCATGATGAAATAACACAGAAAACAAGCTTTTCAAACTTAAAATATAATGAACAAGAAAGATTACAGCCCATGACATGTAACACAGAAAGCAAGTCTATCAAACTTAAAATAAAGTGAGCAGATGATCACAGCCCATGATATAATAACAAAGCAAAAGCAAGTCTCATAAATCTAAAGTTTGGTGAACAGGAAATATTACAGCTCAGGATGTAATATTACAAAAATAAGTCTCTAAAGAAGAAATCACAGCTATAATATAACAACACAAAAGTTATAATTTTGCTATACTGTAAATGTATTTTCGATAGGTACTTACTTCCTCTCACAACATTAACTATTCTTGTTCAGTACTGCCCTCTATATGCAAACATTTTCTTTATGCATGCAACACCCCTTGTGCTCCCCACTTGTGGGAATTAGTACATTCCAATGTGTGTCTCATCCAAATCACCATGCATCATCTATTAACCAACAGTAGCATACTGTGATGCACGTGTCTCCCTCTACACTCCTCTACCAAACCTTCACTTCAAAGTTTGGCAGAAGATGTGAGCACTGGAGAAGTGGGGAGGAAGGGTGAAAGGAGGTAAGTATCTATTGGAAATACATTTTCAGAAAAATAAAATTATAAGTTTCGATATGGTACTTACCTCCTCTCACAAGATTAGCTAGAATCCCACATTGATAAGGAGGAAGGACCAGTGCAAGGGAATAACAGAAGCACTCCCAAAAGTGTCCAAAGGATACCCCTGACCATGAGAGAAAGAGATCAGGAGATCTGAGGAGGAGAACAACACCACTGAGCCAGGTATACTCTTTACCCTTGTGTATAATCTGTAAAACACATGGGCGGAAATCATGAAGTGTAGAGTGGCTAGGATACGTTGGACTGTACTCGGCAAGTCAACTAAACCAAAACTTTTCTGCGGGGTACCGACATCCACGCAAAGGTAGGATGAGGATCATACTGTCTTCAGAATAGAGGATGAAGATACACTCCAATTCCTGGGTACTACACAATCTGGGACTGGCCATCTAGCATTGAGAGGATGAATACAACTTGTTCAAGGACTTATGTTGATTGGTTCACTCGAATCCAACACCTCAACTCTGGAAACTGACGTCTATACAAAGGTAGGATGAGAGCTCCCAATCCAAAGTGGTGAACTGCATGTGCAACAGATCAACTCCATGTGGTATGGAATGTGTAACACGAGGCCATGTCAACCATTAAGGTGACAGATGTGTAAATGAATAGAAGACTACATCACCTTGTAAATGATGGATCAACTCCAGTGGTTGTGGATACTGTTGAATATGTAAATAGTATAAGGAAGCCACATCATACAGGAAGGTGACAGATCAACTCTTGTGATAGTGTAAATAGTATCAGGAGGCCATGTGCACCAGCAAGGGGACAGATCAACTCCTATGCAGGCCATGTATGACGTATGGGCTTTGTCGAGCCACCACAGCAGATCAACTCTCAGGGATGGAGGACGGGAAATGGTGGTGGAAAGAGGATCCCATGAAAAGTTCCATCGTTCCTGAAGTGTTCACTGCAGGGATATCATATGGGCACGACCGAGGGGGCCCAATGCAGTCATGGAAGACCACATCTTCAAAAGCAATAAAACTTCTCGAGCAATAGGCGACTGAGCTGAGAGGGCACGGTGAACAGAAAGTCCAATAGAACTAAGGCATAAAGGAGAAAGACAGCTCGACTAATGTTGGTGTCAAAGAAGACCCCCAAATGCACTAAGCTGCCACAGAAAGGAGATGGTGAATGTGACTGGTCAAATCCTGCTTGGAATGAGCTAGAAGTAACCAGTTGATCATGGAATAATGAAACTGCAACCCCAAAGTATAAATATGGCCTGAATGATGCTATAAAACATGCATGGAGCTGGGGCAATTCTGAAGGGGAGGGCCTGAAATTGGTAAACCACCCAGAAATTAACAAACTAAAGATAAAGATGGAATTGAGGGGCTATTGGGATGTAGAGATAAGCATTGGAAACATTCATTTTTGTCATCCACAATCCTAAGGAAAATGCCAATCTCAAGGTGAGAAAGGATTCCATTGTGAACCTGGGGAGTGCAATGAAGCAGTTGAGGCACGACAATCGATGACCGGTTGCTAATCCCGAGTTTCTTGGGGACCATGAAAATATGGTAGTAAAACCTCTCCAAAGGATAATGAACCACTTCGATAGCCAGCTGCAAAAGCAAGTCCTGAACTGCCTCTGACAGACATTGGCGAGTCACAGGGTGAGGAGAAACAGAAGGCAGGGAAAGGAACGGGAGAATGAGTCCCTTTGAAAGAACCTTTGTCATCCACTGATCTTCGAAAAAGGGGAGCCAACAAGGAAGAAAATCCAACAAACGAGCTCCAACAGGCCCTGAACCCACCGGGTAGTCACCAACACTATTGATGACAGATAATACGTCGGCAATGACCTCGATGAAAAAAAGTACCCGGATTTCAAAGAACGGGTAAAGGAAGGGAAGACGAAGGATGGAAAACAAGAATAGTTGGCATGGAAGGCTCTGGTTGAGACAAACAGACCACAAAAGTTGAAAAGGTGGACTGTTATGGGAGGATGTTACCCACGGCTCGATATCACCACAGACGGTGTCAAAGACATAATATTGAAGAAAAGAAGCAAGACATAAATCCCTAAGATAAGTGGAGGATAAATTAACATGAGCCAAAATGGAGTCCCTAACAATAAAGTCCCACCAACAAAGAAACCACATATGTAACGATGAAGGGTATTGGCAGAAAATCCTTCAGGATTTCTGTGGAGAGCTTCCAAATGGAGATGTATAGAAGACAGGTACCAGAGAAGGGTAGTAAAGGTAAGATGAAGGTGAGAATATTAGGCATGTAGGAGACTAACATTAAATTCGGAAGAGGTAATTAAGAACCCAACAACTTGTGATCCAAAAACAGATATTCCACCTGATGGTAAGAACAGGCGTACTGATCAGAGGCTCGGGGGGTGTGGCATACTGATCCCTTCACCCAACTGTGAGAGAAAGTGATCCGAATATCAGGAGAGGGTGGAAATGGTTGAGAAGAATGCTCATGGAACAAAGAAGGACAAGGGGAATAAGAAATAGGGAAAAAGAGACAAAACACCACAAACCTGAGATACAAAATGTGTGAAAGCCGAGGAAGGCCTAGGTGAATCATTAGGCTAGAACTTGGAAGGGACGGCAAATTCGGGAGCAGGGAAAAAATTATCAAAATCATCATGCTGAATAATGTCAGCAGACTCTGAAGGAGCTCGGAATTCATAACTTATGAAACTGCACACAACTGTCTACTGCAGAAAAGTGACGATAATAAACTGGGAGAAAAGTGATAATGTATAACAAGAACAAAAAATTAAAAAATAGAACCACTTCAAACGAAAATCAAAAATGTGTCTCACGGGAAATGCAAAGCATAAAATAAAATGTCTGTAATCGAAAACTGCCATACAAGAAGTGAAGGTTTGGTAGAAAAGTGTAGAGGGAGTCACATGCATCATGTGAGCATACTATACTACTATTGGTTAATAGATGATGCATGATGATTTGTATGAGACACATTGGAATGTACTAATTCCAACAAGGTGAGAGCGCAAGGTTTGTCGCATGCATAAAGAAAATGTTCGCATATAGAGGGCAGCACTGAACAATAGCTAAAACTGTAAGAGAAGGTAAGTACTGTATCGGAAAACGAATCTTTCAAACTTAAAACAGAATGAATAGGAAAGATCACAGCCGATGCTGTAACAAATAGAAGTCTTATAAACTGAAATAGGGCAAAAATGATATAACAATGCCAGAAAACAAGTCTCTAAAACCTAAATTACAATAAATAGGAGAAATCATTTATGAACATAAGAATCAAAACCCAAAGTCCAACAAGATAGAAGATTACAATTTTTGTATTATCTAAAAGATAGTTACAATTTGTACAGTGCATTATGAATTTACAACATAATTAAAAAGTATACTGAAAATAAAACAACTGTAGTCAACACTAATTGCTACTCTAAATATAAATGTAGGTAGGTAACATACAGGAATTCTATTTCTACATGTACACACCTGTTCTACAGTTTTATAAAAACTTAGTGATGCCATCACAAGTTTGTGACGGTCTTCAGCATGGCTCATTAGCATGTGCCACCTTTTTCCAACCTGTTCTGAGATTTCCCGAATGGTCCGAGGATCATAGTGATTAGACTGTATCAGCATTTCTGCACGCTGCTGAACCTGAACTGCACTACTGTGAGTTTTCTATTGAAAGGTGAGACAGAAACAACAACAGGTTAATCAACAAAGCTTTCTTGAACATAAATGTTAATGTACATCTACGTTTCATGGATCATAAAATCGTCATTAACTACAGAGATTTTAACTATCATATATGATTCTTTTCAGCAATTTTGTTGTGAAATATACTTTAAATTCAACTGAAATCTTACAATATAAGGAGAGAAATTTATTTAATTACAAGTGACATGTTTTCTCTTTGTTGTTTATTCTTACTTCTTAAAAATAATGTTTTTCTTAAGTTATATATTATTAACAAAACAACAGTTACATGTGAAGTTTTACATTCCAAATTACAAAAATTAACATACAACATTACACAAGCAACAACACTTATGGTTATTATTAGATAATACCATATAATGGTTCTAAATTGCACTAGTTCTAAGGTATCTAATAAAAATCTACCTATCAAAATATAAACCATTTCAAACAGTAACATGTGCTGGCTACAAAAAAATAAAAAGGCGACAATAGAGCTACATAACAAAGCAAATAACATATGCACACATACACACATACATATCAAATCACACTACATAGATAAGCTTTATTACATCAAAAGGTAGAATCTGGGGCGATGACATGACAGCAGCGGAAGGCATGAAACAGACAGATAACATTCATCAGACTTTCATTCAAAACAAAGCATTACTTAATTTTTGTTAGATTTTGTTGAGAAAACTAGTTTTACAAGGAAAAAAATTCAGTATTTGTATCTTTATTTTTTTTATCAAAGGATACTAGGACAAATTTTGAAATATATATTCTGTTTTAAAAAAATTCCTGAAAGATTATATAGCTAATTTTTTGGAAAACCACTTGACAAAAACATTAGACATTAAAAAAAACATTTGTTCACTACAGCAATGTGTTTTTCTTATCAGAAACTCATAATAAAATAGATATTAACATTCCAAATAAAACTTGTTTTGACAGAAAAAGCATAAATGTTCTTAACAATATCTTTTATAATTGTTACTTATAAAACTTAACAATAAAGTAAGTGCTCCCAGTAGAAATTCTTAAAAACCCTACAAAATTTCTTTTTAATAAATTTACACATTCTTTTGAACTGTGTAAATGCTACAGAAACATTATCTATTCTTCTAAACACCTCCAATGTTTCTACATTTTTGGTAAAAACACCAAGATTATCAATTTCTTTATAACAGTACTGATGAACTTAATTTCAACACATTAACTAATATCTTGGAAGCTGCACCAAGATTACTAAATCCTTTATACTAATTACTTGAGTAAAGAAGCACATTATATTAATATAATAACATTCAAGAAAACATCAAGTTATAAGCATAATGAACTGATTTATTTACAGTGGAACATACTACATGTTCCAACAGAACATTGGTTTGTCTTCTGTCAAAACATGTAGTATGTTCCACCATAAATAAACCATTTCATTATGCTTATAAATTGTTGTCTGCCTGCTTATTATTAGCACTAATTACCTTAGCTTACTTGCATTAACACTATAGTAACTAACATATTAGTAACAGCACCAAGGTTACTAACTTATTGACACCACCACTATAGGTACTAATATTTTCAGAAAACCTGAAAGTTACTAAATTATTTATAACAGTATTTATAACCTTAACTTCTTTAGAGTAATAACAAAGTAACTAATAACTGGATAATAGCTCCAAGGTTATTAGCTTTTTAACACTAACACTATAGTAACACATTTCAGAAAAGCACAAAGGTAACTAACTTATTCATAATTGCACCAATGTAAATACTTCAAAGGAAAAGATTAATCAATGATTCTCCAACACCTAGTGACTGACAATTTGCTGTCAACAAACCTGAAATATCTCTAAAGTAATCTAAGTTTACAATATCAACCTTCTTCTTTAGTGCAAGCTAAGTTGTTGAAGACTTGTGAGAATAAATTGTCCTTATGAGTTCATTAAACTGCATTATTAATTTCTTTACAGTCTTTAAGCTGAAAAAATTTAGATGAAAAACTAATAAGTTTTAAGAATCAATTCTTAAAACTAGAAATTTTATTTGTTAAAATTTTAAAAACATCTGCTTAAACTTTGATATATAACTAGATGGACAGATGCATGTATAATATACATATTAAAATAAAACTTTAACAAAGTTCACTCAAACCCAACGAGTCTTGATAAGAATTGGTAAATCATATTTGGAAAATAATCCAATTTGTAATGATTGAAAAGGCATACAGGTGAAGGCAATGGCTAATTCAATAAGATTTTCTATTAGACAAAGCTTTTGAATATCATTCAAGGAAGAGAATATAACTTTTCTTGACAAACAGTTACCTCAATAGCAAGTTGAAACTGCTCATGCTCAGCTCGTAGCTGTTCTGCCTCTTGTAAACTGGTGGGAAAGAGGAAACTGGCATTTAGCATGGATTCTCCATTCCTTATCCATGATAGAACCTGTAAAAACAGCCAAATATTTCACAACATGACTTTTACACAATAACACAAATGTGATGAAATATTTGTTTTTATTCAAGGACCTGTAAAAAGCACAAACCCATTTAATATTTTTTATATAAAACACAGTTTGTAAATAAACAAACAAACACTCATTTCTTAGTGTGATAGTTTCTCGCTGGGTCTTTGGTAGGTTGTAATTACAGAACATTTTATTTCCTGTAGGTTACGAAAACTTACCATTAAATACAATCTAACAGATCCTGAGCTTGCAACAAATATTCTTTCTTTCTTTCTACTCCTTTGATGAGTGTAGTTTATGTTTTCTCAGGCATTTTATACTTAGGTTTTAGTTTTGAATTGTCTCACCTTACATTTTCTATACCCTTCCTAAGAATTCACTTGTCTCACAAACTTTCACTACCATATTTGCTGGTGCATAAGTTCACCCTGGAATTTTTTGAACAAATCAAGTGTATTTCTTTTAGGTTCAGTGTATAGGACAACCTCTATTGTCAAACAAGTCTAGGATGCAACTTTTGTTAAGAAATTCTTAGAAGTTATTTTTAATCTGTACTAACATACAACCATACAACCACAAGTGTTTTTTTTATGCTCTTCACATGCTTCAAACAGCTCAATATGACACAACTTACATCACAAACATGTAATAAACAACTTTACAAAGTGTTCATCACAGTTGAACTCCTTTTCTATTATAAAAAAATACTAAACCTTAACATATTGTGATGTACTATAAAACATGTTTATAAAATTAGTGTCCATTACAGAAACAAACATTTTTGTTACAACATTAGCAATATTTTAGTATGACAGATGAGATCAACACATTTGAAATAAAAAATGTCTCGATTTATTGTAACTAGCATGTGAGATAAATAACTTCTAGTTATGAAGAATCGAGACAAATGATATAATTACAAGTATGTTATAGGTGGCACAATATCAACACATTTACCCAAAATAGCAAACAAAAGTAAAGAAACAACATACTTTTTGTTAAATATGCTATTAACCAGAGTTCTTACTGGAACTCTATCTTTGAACCTGTATATAAGACAAAGGATAAAATCAGGCATTGTTTTAAGAGTAAAAAGTATTGTCTTGTACACCAGCAACTACAGCATTCTACTTCATCTATTTATTCCTACTGAATTTAAATTGTCTTTAATTGGTAATATTTTGATTATAATATCCCATTCCGTAAAAGTAATTTTTTTTAGAGAAACTAAACAAAACTAGCTCTGTTTTTAATCATTATTATAAAAGAGCTAGTTTTGTTTAAACCCCTTCTTAATAAAGTTAGTATTTTACAATGTGATGAAGAAACTGATTAACAACAAAAGGTACATATCAGTTGTTTGTTGTAGAACAAAATGAACTATATTTGTTAATTAGATGTCAGGATTAGTAGAAAAAATAGCAGTTTATAATGTTTGAAACTTGTTTTAGAATTTTTACACAAAGCTACATAAGGTGATTCTGATGTATATGCAAAGTTTTCCTTAATTTTGAACTAATAGACTAGTGGGAATGTATCTAATTAACAAAACCCATCAACAACTCTTAAACTACTCTCATTTGACTGAATACCAAAATTTGACCATCTTGTTTTTGCAGTAATGGGAAATGAACCATGAACTACTGGATTTATGCTCTAACCATTAAGCCATGAACAATCCTTAAAACTTCTTGGTAGATAAAAAATATTACAAACAGAACACAAATCAATTTATTTCTTTATAATAATGTATTAACACATACCTTTATAGACTATTCTCTAATTTTCTACACAAAATAAAATACAATGTGAAGATTCTCATAACATTAGACTTATCTTTCGAAATTAAACATTAAGCAAGATACTGTGTATACTCGTTAATAGTCGAACTTTTGTGCCCAATTTTTTAGGCTATAATTTATGGGTAGACTTTTACATGAGGAATACTTGAGAGGTTGAAATGCATGCTCAGTTAAGAGTCCACAATACATTAAACAAGACCCCACAGGGTTCAACATTAACTTTATTTATATCGCTAGAGCAGTCAGACCGGTTCATTAAGAAATTACTAGCCCCAACTTTACAATGAATTAATCAACACACATACTTTATTCTTCGGTGGTAAATATAAAAAGTGCACGAGTTTTCAACATATCCATTATTTTCTACTGAAATGCTATTCAACTATATTATGTGCCTTTTCAATCACAGTTGTGTTTCCTTATTAGACAGTTTCAATTTATCAAATTACATAGATGAAATAGGTTATCTTGTGCAAATGAAAAGAGCCATTTAAATGTATATCTTTATTGACAGTAAACTTCAAAAGAAATAAAAATCAATAATTCAAAAGTTTTTTCCTATCTATTTTGATTTCAATATTTGTACCAACACTGGTGTAAAAGTAAGCATGATAAATAAAACTTTGTTACTAAACAAAGAGGATGCATAAAAAACATCAAAAGAAAACAACTTCAAAGTAGATAAAAGTAACAAATGATAATTATGGTATCATTCCAGGCCAAGGAAATTAAGAAAATTTGCAGACGTATTACATGCTATTTGGTATCTATGATCATGCTCTACTTTGGCACATCTGTGCATTACAGAATATTTTGAATCACATTTGGAAGAAAAATAAATTAAAAGCAAAATATGACTTCTGCAACATATTACTGCCATAGTAAATGACTGCTGGTGCATTTTACTGTCATCATTTTACTGCTGGTCACTTGACTACCAACATATGACTTCTGTAACATATTACTGCCATAGTAAATGACTGCTGGTGCATTTTACTGCCAGCAATAATTATGTTCTCAAAACAAAACATTTCCTAACACAGTGAATGACTTTATTCTAAAAAATTACGATGAACTAATAAACTATCACACCAAACTTGATTAAAAATAAAATTGAATAAGAAAGTAACTGAATAATTTGCTGTGTATATCACCATACAGCAAATTATGTACAGTATTATTTATTTTTGCACAGGTAGAAATTTTATGATGTAATTTTTTTATGTTCAAGGTTTTCTGACATGATAATGGTTGCTTTTATAATATTCCAATAATCTAATTTCTATACATGCAGAAAACCTTAAAATGAAATAATTAATTGCTGCATCCATTTGCCGGCAGTAAAATGCACTTGCAGTCATTTAGTACAGCAGTAAAATGTCATAATACCCTCTCATCTGGATCAGAAAAGTCAGGTCACCTTACACATTGCCCACCATGCCACCATAATGCCACAGCTCGTTCTGCATTATAGTCCATAGAACCTGACTCTTCAATGGAAATTTCTCTGAGGTAGTTCAACGTGTCTGCATTTAACCCAGCTCTCCAACCAGACTTGATCTTAGCCATTGCTGAAAATCCCTTTTCACAGATTTGAACTGGAAACTGGTATACACAAAAAGATCTCAACTAGCATGATGATATTCTTAAAAGTGTCTTTCAAGTGGGGTTCAAGTAAAACTTGTAACAGAATTCTTGAACTAATGTCTCTTGGGTGATTCTTCATATGAACTTCCAGAACTGGCCATTCTGCCTGTTTCAAATGTTGAATGTCACATCCCATTCTATTTAAAATTATGGAGTAGTATTCCACAGGTTAATTACTTCATTTTCTTTGTATACTGCAATATCAGCATCAGTTTCTGAAAGGTTGACTGGATAGAATACTTGCATGTCCTTCATTAGATGGTCAGAATCTATGTCACCAGTCCTATTATTCACATGGTTGATAACCGACTGAATATAGGAATTTTGTTTTGTCTTGAACTGTTCCTCTGATAAACTGGGAGCACAAAATTTCACACCTTGGAATGTTCTCTCCACCTCTCATCTGCAAATTCTCTCCTGGTCTTTGCTGCAGAGCAATAAACTGTAGGCAAGATGTTTCAAGGGCTTTCACAGCCCTCCTTTTGAAACTGTAATAAAAGTTTGCATAAAATAGGTAATAGATCCTTTAGAAATGCATGTAATGGGTTAGATTATAGTCTTTCAGATATTTAAGAATTAGCTTGACTCTGCTTTGAACATCCACTGTCCCACTCATACCTTCTATACGGTTCTCAAAGTGAGCAACAAACAATAAATACTGCTGTGAGTACATCAAGACATTGACTCAGATGTGGCATCCATCTGATACCTTCCAAATTTACTGGCTTTATCACTTCCTTCTTCATAGCTTCAGCTAAAATTTGAAGCTCTCTCAATGCTTTTACATCTTAATGAGAGTGTTTGTGAAAATTCAACAAAACATTTTTTAAGATCACCAAAGATCTTTGCATCATTATCCTTCATTGCATTTAATGCACCAAGTTCCAGTCTGTGACTTACACAACACACGGCAACGAGATGAAGCACTTCATTTTTTAAGAGTTTTACTACACTGTGCTTTTTCCCCAAGTTTACATTTGCTCCATCTGAGCCCGTGGCAATTAGTTTTTCCTTCCAGTTCCAACCTGCATTGTTCACACTGTCCATTGCAGACTCTACTGCTGCCAAAACACCTCAACATGAGCATGATCAATGTTATTTATCTTTCCAAAGATATTTTTTGGCACATCTTCCACCACAACATAAGCATACACAATCTCATATTCACAAATGGATACATCTGTCAAACCATCAAACATTATAGATAAGATCTGTGCATTCTTCAGTAAACTGTGTTTCTTGTCAGATATCCTTATATATGAATTGCATAAATCTTCTACAAGCCTGATCAGTCAATAGCTATTTGGCAGCTCAACACCATTCTTTACTTGTAAATCAAGAAGGCTTGGGTACACAGTAAAGGGCAGTTCATTCTTAGCAATGACGTAAGCAGTGTTAAAACAAATAAGCAACTGTGCTTTCTGACCTTCATTTAGCCTCCTGATAGCAATGTCCAGAGGTCCAACTACTGCTGGTTCCCTGGTACTAGTACATGCACCTACACTCATTCCTGTCTCCACTTCTCCAGTATATGAATAAAACACTGTGCTCGATTTCTTTTTCATGCATTCCAAATCATGCTTTCTTTGAGCTGATATTTGTAATGTATTTGCATCATGTTGTTTCAAAGAATCAATTCTAAAATTCTTCGTTCCTAAATCTACAAATATACCCTCCTTCTCCAACTTTCTACATGGAACACAATACATCAGCTATTCATTCTCATTGTACTCATTTAAATTCATTCTTCCACTTAGGATAGAACATCCTTTTCCTTTTTTTCTTTTAGTCATTTTTTTTGGTTTCATCTCTTCCTTTTGGTGTCTTTTTCTATCCTCCTCCTTTCTCTTCATCACCCTCTGTTAATGTTATCTGTGGTTAAGACAGCTCATAAAGTTATTGATTAAAATTTACTGATTGTATAAACAGACATTTAGCAAATATGGTGAGGTAGGTAAGAATAACCTAACCACTACACAGAAAAGTAAGGCAGTTATAAACTTCATATGGCCTTAAATCCTAAGAATTCACTATTGTCAACATCTGCCTTATTGAATAATGCTTCCCAATCAAGTCTAAATAGATGTGTACTGTTACAAGGTTAAAGCTATTTAGGATAAATAAATGCTGTTTCATGTTACAATTTGAAGTCATTCTAGTTATAGTATTAATACTATATACAAGTAAAAATGGCCAGGTGGTCAGTCAGTATGACCGAGTCCATGTTAATAGATTTAAGTGTTTTTGATTGTTTTTCACAAGTTTTCAGTATAAAGCGTGACCTGGACGGGGGTGAGTAGTTGCTCTCTTAGGTTGCTGGAAAAACTGTCAACTTTTACATGAGATACATGAAAAATTAAGATTTTTTGATAAAAAATCATGAGTCGACTATTACACAAGTATATACAGTAAATATGAGTGTAAGCAATTTTATATAACTTTTCATATCTTTTTATATCTTTTGTAAAATAAATATTATGCTTTGTTCAACGTCAAAATATCACAGCATTTAAAAACATTTTTAAAACAAATCTTGCTAACATGTAACTAAATTAAATAAATGTAACTGCTATTCTTTATTTATTTACTTTTTAAAAAACTTTACCTGACTGGCATCGTTCTTAAACTGGCAGAGTTGGACACACTGTTGGAGCTTCACTCGTTTCATCTCAGCCAAGTCCTCAAGGTCCATCTCTCTCTCATGTAGATACTCTAACAAAACCTGAACTCTTGTAGGTGCATCATACTGATTGTCAGCCATCAATCTAATTCCTGATGTCTCTAGCATCTACCAGATCCATGAAATATGACACTTAATATCTTCTAAAACTTGTGTGTGTTAGTAGTAAGTATTGTTGGCTCAAATAAATCATCTAAAATTACAATATCAGTTATAGTCAAAGGTAAGAAATTCAACACTTAGAATTGCAGATTAAAATAATACTAAATAATTACCATCATTTATTGGTACTGTCATCAGCTGATATGGACTTAAAGTCAAAAGTAAGGAACTGTTATGACTATATGAAGTTGTTAATTAACAACAATTATCTGTTTTTAACTGTTTGTTTACCACAGCTAACATTACCTAACCATGCTACCATTTACCGTATCTAACATTACCTAACCATGCTACTATCTAACATACCTGGAATTATCTAACCATGCTTTCATTTATAATATCTAACATTATTTAACCATGTTACCAGTTACCATATCTAACGTTACCTAATCATATGACCATTTACCCAGTCCAACATTACCAAACCTTGCTATGATTTATCGTATCAAACATTACTTAACCAAGCTACTATTTACCACATTTAACATTACCTAACCATGCTACTATTAGGTCGTCAAGAAATTAATGTCACTTTTTGGAACATTTTCATTAACCACCCCCAAAAAAACGTACATCACGAATAATAGTTAAATGAGCCACCTAAATGTCATGTTAGTGTAGCCTATATTATGTGTAAAGTTTAGTATACTCTAATTCCTTATAGTGATGGCACACGATGAGACACACGTTGCATGTAATTCTATTTGAGTACAAGAAGGGAAACAATGCCTCTGTAGCCACAAAGAATATAAAAAAAGTTTATGGAAATGTTTTGAATGTTCATAAGTATCAATGATGGTTCAGCAAACTTCGTTCAGGTGACTTTAGCCTTAAAACTGTGATGGCAGCAGCCGACATGTTGGCATTGATATTGATGCTCTGAAGATGATTGTTGAGTCTAACCCAAGGCAACACACTCATGAAACGGCCCTGAAATTGCATCTCTCTCATGAAACAATGCGTAAACATCTAAGGAATATGGGAAAACTCCATAAAGATGGTGTTTGGGTGTCTTACGAAATCTCCGATGATCACTGTTTCCAACATGTGAACATTGCTTCGTATCTTCTGGCACGTAATTTTTGGACAGAATTGTCACCGGTGATGTAAAATGGATTCTCTATGCGAATATTAAATGCCAAAAACAATGGCCCAGTCCTAGACAAAAATCACTTCCAACCCCAAAACCTGGACTCCATCAGCAGAAAGTGATGCTTTGGTGGGACATCAAAGGAGTAATTTCAAACCCCTTAATCCACAGAAAACTATCAATGCAGAGATCTCTAGTCAGCAACTGGAAAATCAAGCCCTTCATCAGAAATGCCCTTCGCTCTTCAATCGGAAAGGTGTTCTTCTCCACGACAATGCATGTCCACATGTGGTACGTTTGACGCAACACAAGATTATGGTGTTGGATTGGGAAGTTCTCCCCCATCCACCATATTATCCAGATATTGCACCATCAGATTACCATCTTTTTCTTTCACTGCAACATCATCTTAATGGGAAAATGTATGAAAATGTGGAAGGTGTTAAAGAGGACATCAACATGTTTTTTGCTTCAAAGCCAAGTGATTTCCTTAATCAGGGCATTAACAACCTGATTGTAAGATGGAAAAGCATCATCGATAAGAATTCTCCTTTATTCTCCTGAAGAATAATAGTCAATTATTCGAAAGCGCTCGAGTTTTGTGTCTCGTTTTGAAAATATTACAACTTTTGTTGGTGATCCTATGTGCTA